GATCTGCGGAATTTGCGGCGGCAATTAAGGACGAAAGCAATAGCAAGATCAATGTCTTATCAGGGTTTCGGTTGCAGGCCCCTTGAGATACAGTTGGTTGCTAGGCAGCTGAGCGGGCTCTCAGTCTGTTGTGGCTCATAAGCCACCACGGACTACGGTCCCCGCGGGATAGTGAAGGACCCAGTCCCGTGATCCGCCTCAGCCCATCGCCGTTCCTAGATTTGGGTACCCAGCTCTATGAGCCATATCACCTTCGTTCTACTGCACGCAGTCTTCCGTAGCCTACGAAGAGTACATGCTCCCAATCCCACGCTTGCAGGCTATTATGGGTTGGCTCGGAAAACTACCCTTCGATGATATTTATCCGCCTTTTAATTGTCTCACTCTTGAAGTATATATTTTCATGAGTCGACGTATCGTACTGTAGCCTTGTCGTCCTGTGAAAGAGGGTCTGGGGTACAAGATTGCTCTTCTGCCTAGACCAAGGAATCCAGTGACTCTCCAGCGTCAGTTCTTCCGCACAGTCTATGGTACGGATTGGAATAAAGGCTTCCCTGATTACATTATTTAAAATGCATGGGCAACAGCAGCTCGCATAAATAGAATAGTTGAAACAAGCCTCTTTCTCGATGCGGAAAGATGACCTGCAGCCTTCAGAAAAGAGCCGGGGTTTGAGGGAGGGAAGGCCTTTGTCCAAGGAATAGTGTATTCTCCAGAAGTGAAGGTGTCCGTTAGCGCCATCCAATGATATGTATTTCCTTGCCGCCGACCTGTGGCTTTCACAAAGTGTGTCCAAAATCTGGAATACAATTTCTTCGTAACAAAAATAGTGTTCGGGCCAAGGCCATGAAAGCTCCGATTTGGAGATTGTTGTCCCACCAGATGACTTTTAATTCCGTGTTAACAGCGAACAGGAATAATTCTAACACTGCGATAAAATTAGCACTGGGAAAAGTTAACGGTAGTTGAGATTACTGATGTGATAATAATAACGTCTTTTAAAATAACCCTAGGTTAAGATTATGAATACGATAAAATTAAGGTCCTTTAATCTGACGCACCTGGAGACCTATCTGTGACCGTTACTTCTGGTGCTTTATCTGTCCAATGGAGTCGGAAAGCATTAAGAAGTCGCTCCAACCATTGTTTTATTTTCCAACCTCGGGATCGGGCATTACATCATACTGGAAGCTGGACGCTACGCCTCTACACGCAAGATGATAGTGAATTTTCTGTTGGCTTCGAAATATCATGCGTGGATTGATCTGAACCATGCATGAGAATACCATTGGTGGCCTCTTCCAATTGCAATCCCTGGAATTATAAATCCATCAGAGAAGACATATTATAGCTAGCAGAATTACTGTCAAATTCGATCTGCGATGGATATCACATCTCGCTGCCTTTGTCGTCCCTATTTTCGGTGACTTGGAAGAGAGGAGAATCCGCTATTTTTGGGCTATGGCTTTGGTTGACATCCAATCTCTGGCTTTCATCACCTGAAATATTACTAGTGGTAGGTGCTGGCGCGTAGGGATGCGAAATGCTTTCGCGGACAGGATGACTGGTGCCAGTTTGTATAGCACCTTCATCAGTTACCTCTTTTGCCGCAAAAAGAGCAAAGTCTCCAGAGTCAAAATAGACACGTTTCTGTTTCTGATCAATCATAACTTGAATGGACTAGGAATCTAAACATACCTGTTGCCCAAGTTTATGTCCGCCAGGGACTTTTCCATAGGCGCTAAGGATATGCCTCTCATGCTCTGAGAGAGACTAGTCAAATCTAGTGAGCGCACATTTGTTACTACCGCAAAAGAATAGACTAACCTCAGCATGTGATTCATTATCTCTGTCCGAGCCCATTTTGATTCGTCCCAGGTAGGCTTTACTTTAGAGAGAGCAAGTGTTCTTTCATATCCTTTCATATCATATCGTTATCAAGAATCCAATTGTTAAAAGCAGGAAGGATTTTCTACAGGTGACGCCCAGGTGACGCCAAGGTGACGCAATAACATGGATGGGTTGGAACGGTCGGATTAATTTAGCCCGACGGCACAACTACCCTATTGTGGCGGACAACCAATAGCGACTGGTGGAACTTGAACCCGTGTGTTGTTTTTTTTTTTGAAACGGTGACGCGACTTACCAGCTACTGATCCCACTTCATCTCCTCCTTTTGAACTTTTGAGAAATAGCAACCTTTGTTTAAACGATAGGGGATTATATTTATTCTTCACTTGAATTCCCAGGGAGGCAATGAAAAGATGGGCAGCCAGCAACCACCAAGGGCGATTGCCCCTAAACCAGGAGATAGCATTTTTCGAACAGATATCAATTTCCACCCTCGGCTGCAGAAGGTATCCAGTGCTTGTCTAGAATGCCGGAAACGAAAACAAAGAGTAGGACTTCTTACTTATCCCGTGGAGACTCTTCTAATTGCTTTATAGTGTGATGGAGCCAGTCCATGCTATTTCTGCCGTCGCAGCGGGCACGATTGTGTGATTGACGAAGAGGGTGATGGGCGTCGCAAAATTGCACTAAAGCGCAAGATCGATTCTCTAGAACAGGATAATGAAATGCTTCTTGGACTTATTCAGACAATACGCGAGGCTGATGAAGAGAGAGCACTTGAGTATTTCCGCTTGATTCGGAGCAACTTGGCACTTGAAGACATTTGCCAGCACCTTCTGCCGCGAGATTCGAATAACGAAGAACCATCAGGGACTGCGTTGAACCGAGAAAGCTCTCTTGAGCCCCAAAATACAAGACAGTCAAGGCCTGGTGGTGCAGGTGGAATTATGGACATTGAGTACCTGACCTCGAGGTGTGCTAATTCATTCGCTGTGCCTCACAATAGGTGACTCATTAGCCCCCACTCCCATCAGGGTCAAAGCCATCGCCCACTTTCCGAGAGACTTTTACCTCCTCAAAATTCTGTTAACTGGACTCCCACCTCCAGGTGGGAGAAAGTTTGGCAGCTAATATCTCCCTGTCTGCAAAAATTGCCCTCTCCCACCCATTCTTGCCTTCTCGAGTTTAAACAGACCAACACATTGGACCTTGAATAGCAGAATAAACATACTGAAATGTAACCACTGCTCAAAATGCTCGAGCCATGATTCAATGAAGGGCAGAACAAACAAAGGCTGCGTTCCGCTAGTTTTGGTGGAGCAATGGACTACTCTCAAGAGTTCGTTATCTCGGGTTCAGCAGCTTAGCGTTGCTGACTGACTGCTTGCATTCGCTCGTTGTTCTTGCGGCTCCCCTAATTCTGGACTCCGTACATTCTGTGATTCTGAACGAAGTTACAGTAAAATGTTCTGGAGGGAAAAACATCAACGGGGGTCAAAAACAATAGCGGTTCCCCCCTTGGAGCGAGATGGTTGGAGGCCCACCGCGAGTCGGGCCGATCTCCTTGTTACGGGTCCGGAGACCCCTAAAGGTCTCTATGGAAACCCCTGGAATACAGCCTGATCGGATCACCAGGGATGATCGGACTACCCGGGAATTACGTTATCGGTCATCCGTTGCTGTCAACAAGAATCGGTTATTCCTCACCACCCTCGGCCAGACGTAGAGCATGGCAAATCCATTCCACCAAACATGTGTACTCTTACGACAGCGCTGGATCATAGTTGCGAGATTCTCTTGCGAGAATTACGAGATGTTGCAATCGACCAAAAACATTATTATAACATGCGGCATATAAAGTACAGTAAATTTCTTAGAAATGCCCATATAGCTCCTCACAGTAAGATGCTAAAATTCATCATTTCATCCTTCCAAAACCTGTGCCTGCTAGCGACATAAAGATCGCCCGGCCTCTGGGGTACTCCAAGGTGGAGAAAGGAGAAAGCTAAGCCAATAATCGTGGACACAGATTCACCATGGGTCTCGACCACGGAGCGATATTCAAGCCCCTCCGCATCAAAAAAATGGCGTATGACAGAAGCTCTTTCTCAATGGGCGAACGCTGATCTAGGCTCGCATAGCCCTCCGAACTGCCATGCCCGTTAATGGGACAATGGCCTGCGGGCTTCCGATAATCTCTCTATCAGCCAATAGGCGTCTTTGCCCAGGTAAATAATTAAGAGGACAGGGCCGGTTAATCAGCCTAGATCGATGGAAGATCTCCGGGGACGTGAGCTGTGTCGTGGTTTCGGGCGACAGTCAAAGAAAAGAGCAGTTCGAGGCCATTAACCATTCCCAATGGGCTTCTCCTACAGATATCAGAGTTCCTCGAGCCGAAGGAAATGAATACCCTTATCCTCACATGTCGGCAACTGCACGACACGTTCAAAAACCCCCTCTACCGACACGCTGTAGGGCACTGCCCAGACTTCATCAAAACATGGGTCGGCGAAAAGGGACAAGTGAATACAATGCGCGAATTCGCCAAAGCGGGCGGCGACGTGATCAAAGGAAGACTGTTTTCTCTAACCTGCGTCCGTTGGTGATGATAGCTAATCGTCGGCTCAGGAATGCTCGATATATTAGGCGGTCGAGGATTCTGCCATGCCGCTAATCCTGGTGAAGGACATTCCGCTCCGGTCACGTTTTGATTTCCTAACTACGTCATCAACTGGCGGTCAAGGCTCACCTTGCTGTGAGTCAGTTGCAATTCACACACGCTGGTTCAGTCGTCCCAAAGCAACGAGGCATCCAGCTTCAGCTTCTATTTCTCATGTATTTAGTGCACTGAAGCTGCTACATTCGATGAACCGGACCTTCATATTGTGTGGTTGAACACCGAACATTACGTACGTCGCGATCTCCGACAGAGCACAAGGGGCTTGTCTTAAAAAATCCCTTGAACCAGCCTAGATTCAACATTACAAACAAGGTCAGCTACTGTAACTTGCCATTCCTCTTGTCTCACACCCGGCTCCAACATTTCCCCACTTAGGGGAGAGGCCAAAGAACTCATCTCTGTTCAGGAATCTGAGGGCTTAGTATCTTGGTTGCTGTTGTTGCTAACATCCTCGTTTGACCGCCACCAGATGAGCAGAGACAGCACTCAAAATAGTAACCACAGCGATACAAGTGGTCAAGAATCCAGCGAGATCAATACAGAAACCCCGGACTATTACCGAGAATATCTCAGACGACTCATGGCTGTGATTTCGAATAATGAGGGGGGGGCCGTGGACTGGCTGATTACGTTCATTCGCTCAGGCGCTTCGGATCGGGATATCTTTAAGGCATTGCTGGAACTTACAGCAGATTACAGCTCTTCAGAGCCAACAAATAGGGCACCTTGATTATAGTTCATAGCCATGATTAGCTAGGGCTGGTCCCTCGAATCCTTAAAAGCTTGTTTCGCAAATTTTCTTTTTGCTGGCCACCTCTCTGCAAAGTTCTAATCACCTTATCTCCTTTCTTCTCGCGGCTCCTCCTGGCAGCGACTCGGTTGCGCTCTAGCGTTGATTCATGAACAATCACAGAGTAGTGGTAGGGGTGTTGCTTGTGACTGGATAGGCGGATGTGGATACAAGGATGGATATGGTCGCGCGCCACTGTCAGCCGTTAACATTGGGAGGCCGCAGAGCCGTGGTAGGGATGCTTCTTTAACACGTCTATAAGTTGGATAAGCGCTTTCATCGGCTGTGGGTGCATCCAGACTCGGCTCCGCTATTACACCTAGGAATATAAGTGCTGCCCTTCGGGTTGATGAATGGGCAAGCAGCCTTTCATGCAGGGACGTGTACGTCACCGCCTTCTTGAATGACCTAGTGTTTAATCCACATTAAAACATACATTGGAGGGAATCTTGCTGTACGAGCTTCTCTGCTTGTACAGTTGATACTGAGCACTTCTTTTTATTCAATGAGGACCTTCAACATAATACCCATTGAACTAGAGTCTGCCGATAGGATTGACCCTCAACTGGCATGGCCGTCAAGATATCGCAGGTGGACGTCTCGCTTTACATCCTGATTCCTTCGAATATCATTCTTCAATCTAGTATGTATATGTACCATGCAATGGTACCCGCAGAGAAACAAGTTACACAAAACAAACGCGTTGATAAAGGAAATTGTTGAGGTACCAGCCCTCAATATGCAGCGTCAACAAAGGCAAAGAGGGGGTTCCTGTCCACAAATGTTTTAGGTCGCAAATGTATTGGAAATCTAAATTGGGCCGAGGGCGGACAATGGGCGGCGTGAGACAGTTCCATGCTTTCTCTCAGCATGGTTCATCAATGCCGATTTACTCTCCAAGTGCTCCTCGCAGATGCTGCATTTAACCCGCATGTCTTTTGGATATGGTATGACATGAATGTCAACAAAGTGACGGGTGAGTGACCCAGGTGTACAATAGTCTTTAGACCGCTCATGTTCTGGCATAAGAGGATTTCCCAGACAGAGAAAGCAAACCGTCGGACGGTCCTCTTTCCTTTTAATGCAGACCGATGCAATCGCTTGAGAAATGGTGGTCTGTGGCCCATCAGACGAAGGGCATCTTTGCCTTTTTGCGGAAGGAGCAGACGATAAAGAATCCATGGCAGGACGTTTCTGTGCAGGGTTTGGTCGTCTCGTGGGTGATCCCTCCTCCACGTCACAGAAAGCAATGACCGCATTGATTGCGGTAATCCGACGCTGGTATTCCTTTTCGACAGTGGCGCCCGGCATGCTCAAGATATTATCGAGCAGGATCATATGCTGCGGGGTCATATACCCTGTTCGCTCCAGAGCACCCTTCACCTCGTCATCCAAGAACTTCCCGGCAAGTTGCCTCTCGCAGTCAATCACTGGCTGCTCGTTCTTATATCTTTCCAGATTCTCACGCACTAAGCGGTTACGTTGCCGTTGCCACTCATTCCGAGACACACGCTGCGCCCGGAGATGCCTCCGGACCGCGCCTCTGTACTCTTCCTCGGACTTCGCCACACGGTCAAGCGCCTGTCGAGCGGGAGCTAGTAGCTCCTTCTTCACTTTCTTCTGATTCTGGTAATCGCCAAAGCGTCGCTCAAAGTCCCGTTCCGCCGTCTCAAAAGCCCGCTTCATCTCGTCCCGGAATTGTTTTCTTTCACAGACCCGCGTCTGCAGTGTTCGCACGCGCGGAATGTTGTTGACACAACTAGTGTCCTCGAGCTTGTACGGTCGGCGGGGATCAATCGACCGGCTCATGGATGCTGCGAACCGCATCAGCTGTTTCTGAGCCGGCAGTCCCCGGACAATGGCCTGGGCGTCAACATGGATGCCCACGCTATAATGTTTAACGAAGGTGTCGATGTTCGCATGCTGTAACATCACGTTCTGGAGCTCGTTCGTCACATCCGCTGTTCGACGAAGGAGACGGCAGTGTTAGTAAGGACATGATCGTTTTCGATGTGAACAAACCAGATAACTCACAGCTGTCATTAAATGCTTTCGCCGCCCCATAACGGAGACCATATGGCTTTGTGACCTGTTCAAACCCTGTGATTTCGCCTCCCCGTTTCATCCGATATCGCAGCGCTCCTTCCGTTAGTCGCTCCTCCAAAGCAATTCGAAGTCCGTCGGATTCGCGCATTCCCTGACAGAACACAAAGTGATCGAGAATTTCATCTTTCAATCTCAGCGGCTGTTCTCCAAGTCCATCCAAAACACCAAGGTTATACAGATTTTCGGGACAGTCCAACACTAGGCCGTCTTTGGAGATATTCTTGAACGCCTGAATACGGAACAGCATGCCGAGAAGGAACACATGAGGACTGAGGACCAATGTCGGGTCAAAGACGATTTCGGGAATAGGGAAGGTATTCCTATTCCATACACAATTAGCTCTACCTGGCATGCGACTTCACGCGGAGACAGCGACGCTAAAATAAAAAGGGATTGCCTAGGACTCACTCTTCCTTCTCGCCCAGAAACGTCTTGGTAAACCTTGGGGTCAAGTAAATAAATAATCGTGGGCGCCCTCCGTCCGGGTGACGGATGAGAGTCAGCTCAAGATCCCGATAGCGTAAGTTCAGCAGAGCCCCAGGGCGGCTACCGGTGATGGCCGCCAGCTGGCAGAAGAGGAGGAGTTGGATCCGAAGCCACCCGAACTGAAAAGTCATCTCCATCGTCGACAATAGCACGCGAGCGAACTCCGCCACATCTTCAATGTACATCGTCGCTTTCGGTCGGCGTCCAGAACGGAGGTCCTTCTCTCGAGCAACGATCGCCAGTACCTGTAACTCATCAGATGAGACTATAATTGATCCGATCACCGGTCGCTTACATCTAGAATCTTGACAATGAGGTCTTTGCTTAAGCCGTGGCCTACCTCTGCCTTGTAAACCAGATGCCACCACTTCCAGAATGTCTCCAGTGAGCTTTTGTATCGTATTCCTGGTGTCCGGCCCCCTTTTTTGTTTCGTCGCCGACTGCATCGCCACGAGAAGAAAGCTTTGAAGAAACGGACTGTCTCCTCGGAGTCAGAAAGCCAACGGAAACGTTCGGCAGGGTCGTAGTTGCCCTCGCGGCAGAACCTAGAGAGACAGGCTATCTGTTAGCACCAGTCTTGAGACTTGGATCCCGGCTGTTTCTCACCGGTCCCAGTAATCCCGTGTCTCGTCCAACTTAGCCTGGGTCCTTGGGCTGTAGCGTTTCTGCCGTAGTTGGGAGACGTCGAGACATTCAGCCTCCTGTAAGAAGTACGCCGCAGGGAGTTCCCGTTCCTCCTCATCATCCAGGATCGAATCGTCGTCAGAAAGATCTTCCGGGTCGTTATCACTGTCTGGCTCAGACGCACTGTCCGAGGATTCATCGGTAGCATCGTCGGCGGAGAAGATGTCCGGTACATCGGTGGTGCTGCCGCTGTCGTCGTCGGACCCGACCGGTTGAGGGGAGTGCCGCATGGCAGACAAAGGAGAGCGAGAGGAAAGGATGCCTGGATAGAAATAGAGAGTAGGGTGGCAGAAGTGGATCTTCTGTAACCCGTTTGGAGCCGACAGAGGAGAGATGAATGTGTGGGCGAGGTGGATGGCAGTTTCTCGGAAGCGGAGGAGGGGAGGGAGAGAGTCATGGGGGCCGAAGGCTTTTAAGAAGCAGAGCGAAGAAGACGGTCGCGAGGGGAGCCGTTTTTGGCTCCCTCCCCAGAAGGCCTCGCTGGGGAGGGAGAGAGAGGTATGGCTGAACGACGAGCGAGCCCTCCGACGGCGGCTACACGAGGTGTGGTCGTCGAAAGGACCAGGCCAGGCACGAAACGACGGGGGAACCAACTAGCGCAGGGCGTGGGAGTAAAGGCCGCTGGGCGTGCGACTACTTCCACGTGACGCCAAGGCCGCCGAGCGTTAGCAGGACGCTCAAAACGGCGTCAAGTGTAGCCGTTTCGGGCGTCCGGCTAACTGTTTCACCGTTAAAAGTAGAATACGAGTTTACCTAGTGTTCTATATCTTATTACTTAAACTAACACTAAATCTAGAAAACGCCAAAGACGAAATAACCAACATTAATAAGGAATTTGAAGTTGAAAAGATCCTTGACTAATGCACTATAAAGGGTTAGGTTTAGTACCTTATTAGATGGAAAGGTTACTTACTAGAGAATGATTCATGGGAACCTATCAGGCATTTAAACTGCCCTGATAAGATTTAGGAATTTCAGCTTGAAGATAGTCAAAGAAAGGGTCTAATAAAGAAGGTAATATAAAGGCCTTAGTAGCTTCCACATTAAAAGCCGCCTGTAAAGAACTTTCGCTGTTTAATATAGTAACTAACTAACTCTTTTCCTTTTCCTTGATTTCCTTTTATTTCCGCTCCTCCTCCTTAAGCTTCTTAAGCTCTTCGATTTCTTTTATATCACGCATGATAAAGTCACTAGCATGCTTGTAAAGGAGATTATCTTACTTCTAAAGACAATCTATTCGAGCGTTTGCCTTAGTAATTTATTACATTAAATAAGATAACTTTTCTCGTTCCTCTCGCTCTTTTAATTAAATTTTATTTTGAGCTTCTACTAACCGACGCTACTTGCTATCTAAAAACGTTGGCTTAGGCATGACGCACTTCTAAACCACAGTAATGCACGCTTTATAATGAGAAGAACCTTTAACACGAACACAAGGCTTGCTAGATTAGGAGTAACAAAGGCATGGAGTCGCCATATTAAAACCACTTTCCTCGACGCGATGCTTAAGGGATTAGGAACGGAGTGTGGACTCTGTAGGCATCGTGAGGACATTAGTAAACTAGACTGCATTAAAAAGAATAAAGGAATTAGGTAATGGAACCTTACTTACCTAAGGATGCTACGCTACTTATGTCTTTAGGACAAAGACCTTGAAAGAGGGG